ACTGCCGCGGAGAATCACATACAACAGACAACATGAGCAGAATTCCACCCTGTTTCCAAACGTGGACGAGAACAGCTTACAATCCAGCAACCTATCGGCTCTCCAGACCAGTTTCAGTGGAGTGCCCTTGCAAAATTGGGTTCTGATTCTCTCCTTGCATTGTCAGCATTATTTTCAGGAGCTAAATGTTAATGTCGCGCATCAGCTAGCCACCAGAGGGATTCTGACGGACTAGAGCAGTGGTTCATATTCTTAGTTTTTTCGGTAAAGTCACGTTGAAGGAAAACAACAAAATAATAAAAAATATATATAAAACAATAAAAAAATTCTCACGACGTTTCGACCATAACTCAAATCTGGCTTCCATGAGAGATTCGTTCATGAGGCTATCCACATATACAAGCACAGAGACAATTTCAACCGAGAAGATGGATTCTATCTTAGCAATCATTGGAAAGATTTGATAAACCATTTCAGGTCTTAATTGATTGTTCACGCTTACAGTGGCTTTCAGACAGCATACATTATATATATAAAAAAAAATTCGTCTCCCCCCTCCTCTTTTCAGAATATAGATGGACTAGTCCTAAATAAACTGCCAAATCGTTGCGCGTGGCGCTAACGTTTTTTTTTATAAATAAATAAATGCGCCGTTTAAAAATAAATTTATGCAAACCAACACACCTGAAGATGACCGTTTGAGTTATGGTCGAAACGTCGTGAGAATTTTTTTATTGTTTTATATATATTTTATTATTTTGTTGTTTCCCTTCAACGTGACTTTACCGAAAAAACTAAGAATATGAATTACTGCAGTCACGAAAGCTTTAAATCAAAATTTAGAGCAGTGGTTCTTAACCTTATTGGAGGTACTTAAGCTTCATCAGTGCATTCACCGAAACCTTCGTAATTGGAAAAATAAAATATGATTTCTTCAAAACATAGGTATATATTTTATTAGTGCACAAAATGAACCATGCATCAGTTGCACACAAAATCACTGTGTTCAAAGAACAAAACCAACAAAACATGAATTTCACGCAAAAACATAACTCAATGAATATTTACTGCAAATCAATATGACTTTTGCTGTTGCCTTTCAGATACAAGTTCAGAAATACACGGCTTCACCTTGGCAAGTGCCACTCTCATATCATTTTCGCAACAAAGTCTGTTCCTTTTCTTAGTTTTTATGTCTACCATCCTCGAAAAAGATTGCTCGCAAAGATACGTTGTAACAAACGGTGTGAGTCTCTCAAGGGCTTTCTTAGCAATAAGAGGGTATGGTACGATTTGTTGACACCAAAACGTTGAGAGCGTTGTTCTGAAGAGTTGCTGTTGAAGCTGGCTCTGCTGAAGTTCAATGATTTCCTCGAGGTATTCATCGTTGACATCTGCTGTCGCAACACTAAACGTGAACGGCTGTCTCACCCATGCTGGATATGACTTTCTGGTGGGGAAGTATCCGTCGAGAGACTTTGCGAGCTCATCTAAGTGCATGGCAATTGCTTGCTTCAGCTCCCCAGGTACAGAAATGTCTCCAATTGCAGACACGTCTTCGATCTTACTTACACAGTCGTCCAGCAGGGGAAAGTTTGCCAAATTATCATTCTCTGTTCGTCGTTTCCATAAAGGTAGCTTTTTTTAAACGCCTTCAGGTTTTCTTCCACTTCGATGATGTTGACTCCACCACCCTGCATCTGTCGATTGAGATGATTGAGAGCATCGAAAATATCGGCCATGTACGCCAAAATGAGAATGAACTCAGAATTTTCGAAGCAATCTGCGTGACAATGTTGGTACTCTCGCAAAAACAGGGCTAATTCCACACGCATGGCAAAAACACGATTTAGCACCTTTCCCCGGGATAACAACCGAACGTTAGAATGGAACAGAAGTACCTCGAATTCAGAGCCCATTTCATTACACAGCTCTTTGAAGATGCGGTGCTTCATAGCACTGTTTCGCACGTAGTTCACACATTCAACTACAATGTTTAATACTTCTGCCAGTTTTGGAGGCAAGGTTTTTGTTGCCAACGCATGCCTGTGCAGAACACAGTGCGTAACAATGATGTGTGGTGCATCGGATTTCACCAGCGCTCTAAAACCAGAGTGTCGTCCCAGCATGGCTGGAGCTCCGTCCGAACAAACTGCAGAAACCATATTCCACGAAAGATCATTGTCTCTGAAGAAGTCATCCACGAGTTTCTTCACATCGACTGCCTTGGTTGTTGTTGTAAGAGGCTTACAAAATAAAAAATAATCTTCCTTTATCACGTCGTCTTTCATATAGCGCACGAATACAACAAGCTGGCTTAGATTGGAAACGTCGGTGGTCTGGTGGAGTTGGAGGCTGAATT